GTCAAGAGATAGCTTTCTTCTTTTTTTTATTCCCATTTTTTTCATCACACATATTAAGAGGAGTGTTAAATTGGGGTTTCCACAAGTATGTATATAATCCATGGGATAACATATATAATTATGGATTTCTTGCGAAGAGACATTCTTAACATTCTGTTTCTTCAGGGTCTCTAAATTAGTGATAATACAGAAACTATTTTTAATTAGTACAATATAATATCAGCATAATTTTACGTAATTGAACTTGGCAAAACTTTTTAAAGAATACATAAACTAATTAATCGTTTCATTCTAAAACGGGGAAGCTTTTTTTCATATACTTCTCTTTTTCTTTTTTCGAAAAAAAAGTATTCCATGGATAGCATTTAAAACCGTGATCATACTAAAAGAATTGAAGGAAGAATTCTGAGTGAGCCACAGAGATATAAACAACAAGTGGTGCCGTACGATCCAGGAAATATTTGAAAGTGGAGAAATAATTAACTGTATTATACGTCTTGCTGCAGATTCTTAATCTCAATCGCGTACAATTCTAAGTGCGCATGTATGAAGAAGCAATCTTGAGGGAAGAAATATTTCTCTACTGTTCTGTATGGTAATTTTCGTCTACTAAAAATATAAGTGGAAAGAAATGATATTTTCTAAAGAATTACTTCGATATGTAGCATAATATATACATATATTATTCTAAATCCATAGTCAGAGAATACTACTTCATAAACCCATGTTTCATTATATGTTCTTACAAGCATAGCGCAAAACAAAACCTCAAGGAGGCATATGGAAATATCTGAGCTAAGAGCAAATGTCTTATTAAAGTTCTTTTATTTGAAAAGTTTTAGTGCAAGGTGGCTTCCCTTCCTTTTCTTGCTTTTTTCATCTTTCTTTTTTTCCTTCGTTCATCCGTAAAGATATCATTAAGCAATCGGTGGGGGCATATTTCATTTATGTCAAAATTCTTCCGGCTTCTATGAGGTGTATTATTCATATCATACAAGTTATAATACTATATAAAGTCCACAAAAGCACGAATTTTTTTCACTTCTCCTTAAAAGTATCAATCTATTCTTAAATGCGCAAATGTAATCGAAGTAACAGACAAGTAATCATTCCGTTAACTTCATTAAAAATAGCAATGTTCCTAACTCCCAACTTCAGTATTCCCAATTCAGTCCCTTTTTTTTTCTCTCTTTACTGCTACTATCATATATCTAATAGGAATCCCTCGTACACTTGGTACTTTTTTTTATACGAGTGTATAAATTTCTAGTAAAAGCTTTTACCAAGTTATAACAGAAGTGTACGATTGAGATATCTGTTTCTTTTTTTCCCGCAGTTTAAATAATTCGAGAAACGTTCCAAATAATTCTTTTTATAGAATAAGAAGGAATGTTTACCTAATGACCATTCTAATAAAATAGAATAAAACAAGATAAGAGCTAATTTTCCTAACATTATATTTTCACTTCCAATTTCTCAGAAATTTAAAAAACACTAGTGGTGGCTTCCCTTTCACCTGACATGGTTTGGGTACATAGATGCTACGATAAAAATGATAAACTTTTACAAGACAGGGAAACCGATAGGATAACGCCTACCATAACTTATTATCATTAAAGTAGCATTGGAATTTATCAGAAATATGTGGAATGGCCTTCAATGAAGGTGTATATATTTTTATATCTTGTGCCCATCTTTCGAATTCTCATAATTATAAATACCCTGTTTAAAAAAGAACCCTTTTCTGAAGTCGCAAAGAATGAACTTTATTCCTTTCTCCTCTTCTTCTTGTATATCATACTTCGAAAGGGATTTTTTAAGAAGGAATGGGCACCATTACATGGCGCACCCTGTTTTTTAACACAAAAAAAAGGGCTCCATAGTACTTATCCTATTCGACACATTATATCATTCATACGCACATACGTGATACTCGTATCCATGACCATTTTCACCTCTATAAAGTTTACTGAGAGACCTCTATTTGATAATCTTCAGCTGTCCTGTTCTTCGATACTTCATTTCACTTCCTCCCAAGTAATAATAGAAACAACGGGTTAACCCAACATTTGGCGAATTCGCCTACATGCATACATTCAATTTAGAGTCATACAGAATTTTCCTGAGAAGTAAGCAATCACATTGTATCAACCTCTAGTTCCTGTTTATCATTATTTTGAGCGTATCAGCAAGGTGAACGATTCCCCATGGCTCGTGATCTTCCTGATAAAATGCAGTCTTTACGAATGTGCTAAAATAAGCCAAGTTATGGGGACCCATAAGGTGGGTGGCTGTCCCGCTTTAGAAATTGCTCTTATTATTATATTCTTTTCATATTTGCAATTTTAAATATCTATATGTAACAATAGGGGGACACTTTAATTGTGGGAATTGTACCCATCCATTTGAGTGCATATGTTTTCACCTCATATCAATAACGACTCATGAGGGAAGTTTTAACCAATAGATAACTCATTCTCAGTTGCTCATTCCCGCCTTGCATGAGGTTCATCCATAAGACCAAAGTTCACAGTCGCTGATTTGTCCGAAACCTTTACTTAATGAGTGAAGAGAAAAAACGTAACCATATGCTTTATATGTTAGTAATATCCTAGAGTCCTTACATTTTTTTCTCTTTTTTCCCTGCTCACGAAGAATCCTTTGAACAGTAAAATCCCAAGAAAGAATCAGTTAGACAAAAGAGTATATTTCAGGGATAAGGAAGGATATATTATAGATTCCATTTTAAAGAGAAAATGACAATACATTCGTATAGAATGTTTATAATGCACTTCCTCATGCACGTTTGTCGCGGCAGGTTTTCATAGTAGACAGGAGAGGCCAGGAAAACACGCCAAGAAGGAAAGGAGCACTTTTACAAGCAACTAAATTTCCAAGCTTCGATACGTTGAGTAATTAACAAGAATCTAACTTCATGAAATTATTTTTAATAGATACAAAGGGGGAAAGAACAGAAACTTCCCAATTCACGCAAAGATTAAAAATGCACATTCCTTCTATTTCTAATCAAATTTCTAGGTTATGTCTCCTAGGGCCGTCAACCGACGTTTATGTTTCCATCCTGACAATATAATAACTGATACAGTCATTAGAAATGAAACAGAGATTTCCCAGTTGACAATACGTAATATTTCATTGCGCGGTAATCTTCTTTCATAGTGGGTTTAAGTACCCCAACGCCCAGGAGTTTATATTTTATTGTTTTAAAGAACACATAACAAAACCTGGAAGGAACAAGGAGACATGACTAAATTGCCTATATCTATGCTCTTTGACACGGAAAAATACTGAACCGGATTAATTACACAATAGGGGGCAAGGACGACTTGTGGCCGTAGGTGGTATGCAGTATTCCGCTGTATGTGTTTGGGGCGATTTTGAGGGCGTTAGTCGATTGATATATCTAGTAGACTTCATTGAATATCTCCTTCTCAAGATAGAGGTCGATTCTGTGCATATCGCTATCAATCCATTGTAACTTCCCATAAATGAATTTATCCTTCTTTAGAGTACTTAACACACTGTGGTTAACTGTTTTATATTTTGATTTAATTCTTCCATCCAATTGAATCGAATTTAACATCTCTTCTAGCTGTTTCAATTTAATGAATTCTTCCAACTTCATTAATTTATTTTCTTTTTTCTTATCTTCTACATTGTCTTATTCGATGGTTTCAATTGATTCCTCGGAATTTATCTGTTTTCCAATTTGTTATAGTTAAAATATTTCTTCTAGTTTCTGGGGGATCATTTTTTTTTTTTATTTTATTTCAGGTTTATTTTTTCTATTAATTTATTAAATTCTCTTATTTTTTCAAATTTTCCCAGATTTGTTTTTTCTTTAATTCCTTATAAAGATATTTCCCCCTTTCAATTTTTTCTGATCCTTTATCCTAAGCAACTGTAGCAACTTCTTTTCCTTAATTTTTCCCCTCAATCTTGAGGTTCATAAATATCTGCAGTCTTTTAAGGTTCTAGTTTCTCTGTTTCTCTTTAAAGTTGATTATATTTCTGACATTACTAAGCATAGTCCTTGTGCCATTCCTCTCAGCACGTACTAAGAAATTTTCATCATCCTCACTTCCACTTTGAGACAACAGCCGATAGCTTAAAGCATCAACTACGGTGTCCACAACGTTCCGTTCCCTGCCAAGAGTTTTGCTAGTCAATCCTTAAATATAGTAAGATGAAATAGATTAAAATAGCATATGAGGTAAGTTATCTAGTCATAGGAGACAAAACGAAAAAAGGACAAAAGGAAGCTGCTCGAAAGATTAAGCAGATTAATTAATCCGATATATTTCCCCTATTGTCTTGTGGAAAAATTCACATATCCTCACTGAACGAATAAACGTAGAAGATTTAATGAAAATGAGTAACTCGATTTTATCTGACTAAAATTATCTTTCCAGTAATCTGATAGACATAGAGGAAGGGAATGAAGGGAAAACAACGACTACTTCGTTTAATAAATACTGCCAATGTGTACTGAGTGCTCCTCAAACTATTTCGCAAATTTTATTTCTTCGTTTCATTTTTCACAATCTCATTAAATTTATGAATTATCCATCTGTATATGCAGGTAAGTATGAATTTGCAGACTTTTAGCTATTTAATTAAAATCAAATCGAAGCGAAAGAAGAGGTGTTCCTTAAAGATGAGATAAGAATTTGTCAAATCTGCATACGCAAATTATTGCATCAGCAAAAGAAGAAAACAACCTGAATTCTTTCTTATGTAGAATTGGTGTACACATTATTTAAATAATTAGATTAATTTTTACATTTCGCGAAATTATTGATTCATTAATTCTTTATTATTTTTCGGTTTTGTTCTGTTTTTTTTTTTTTTTTTCCTTTTGTAATTTTTAATTCATTATATTTCTTTGATTTCATCATTTTTAGATCTATTTTAAGGATGCATATCTTCTCATGCATGAGCAACTCTATTGGATCTTCATTGTTGTTGAAATGCTCCCTCCCCTTCAAAAATAATAGGTCCCATGTTCAGTGCATCGAACTAAAGCAAAATACTGACACTGTGAACTTAACCCTTCTTTGTCCTACGTTCACATCCCCATGTACTATATGATGAATGCGCCTCCTCTACATCAAGAAAATTCTGGAGTTCAACATTGTTAATCCATTTCTATGTTACCAACAATAGCAGATTCAGGAGGTTTCCTGCAATCATTCATTCCCAAAAAGATTAGATCGGAATGAGGAAGTAAATAAATCCCTCGAACAGGTATCCTCTGATTCGGAGAAGTATTTTCTTCCCTTATTTAAACGAACAAGTCATTGGGAAGATAAGATGAACTATTTACTCCTTAAATAATCATTAAACAATATTAGGTACGAATGTACTAACCTGACCACCAGGCTTTGTGCTACTTGTCGTGTGAACAACATAGAGCCTGCCCACTGATGAATATGGCTACACTTTCAGAGATATCATGACACTTTTTCAAGACTTGCGTCGAATGGGCAATGGATTCCGTTAGAACTCGTTATCCTTCTCTCACGGGTCATACTAACTTGACCATTATGCAAAAAATAAAATACGTTAGGTATTAATAGATAAATCAATTTCTTCTTGTAATTACTTGTGCCACTGTTATAGACAGATATTTCTATATAGTGAGGCACTATTTAGAGGGGATCTAAAAATGGAGTCGAGACACTGTCAATGTAAACCCCGCACGTACGCTTTGTCTAACTTACTCAAATGTAAGCTACGCGCTAATAACCATCTCAGCAAGAAATGGTTAAGCGAAGAAACAGAAATTAAGTTCTATTTTCGTATGGTGCCCTGTAGAACCTCCGGTACAACAAAGTGGGTCATAGCGAATGTTGTGGTTGATCAGGTCACCTCCACTGAACAGTACCGTGAATACGGAATCGTAATTAACATCTAGAACTAACAACTCATCACTCCTACCGTGTGTCCTTCATTAGCGCTTCCTTAGCACATTTCTGAAGCGTCTAAGATGCATTACCAAACTGTTCTGGTATAAAACCCCGTGCAGCATCTACCAATGCGTAAAAACATAAGAAGTAAGATGTCCACATGTAGCAGGACACTTAGGTGTAAACTCTTCTCACGTGCTCTTCCTCATCCACGAAATGTCGAGTGGAAAGCATAGAGAAAGAAAGAGCCAAATAGTAGGAGCATTACTGACACACTATTGCTCCCTCCCTCACCATCCTTAAATGAACCTCGCTTTCAACCTTTCTTATTTTAACATGAAAGTTAAAGTGTCTAGAAAATAACCTCCAGGGCACACTCAGAAAAAAAATAAACGTTCCAATTTGAAGATTATCCCTTTAATCAATACAAGGAAGAGCTTATAATGTGCACCAAAGAAAAAGA